TAGTAATTAACAAAGGTTGGAAACATGTTAAGTATAATCTCTAGTATGAGACGGAAATCTCTTAACAACAGAAAATAACAACAGTACCATATAACCTATATATATTTTAGTCTCCCTAAACGGAAAAATAATTTGGCTCCGAGCCATTCTGTTGTATGGAGGTTCTACAGTAGTAACGTAAACTAACATATTATATAGAAATGAAATGAATTAATCATCCGAGTAGATTCCAATTCATTTGTATTTATATTTTTCTTCAAAACAAGTTGTGAAATGTTTTCAATATCATTTCAGTTGATTAATGGAAATATATCCGTTAGACATTTATTTTCACTGGTCAATATACTTAATTATCAGTTTTATATTGTTCATTCTTGTGGTAAAATGTTGGATATAATATCATTATATCTATGGGTCTGCATAAATGTATTAGGAAAACTAAAAAATTAATAATACATTTTAAAGTGGAGAATATCTTGCAGGAAAAAATGGGTATTTTACCCTTACTGATACAAATATTTTTTAACTCCCCCATTAAAGTTTTTTTTTATTTATTTTAGGGACAATGGACCACATAAATTACGTTTTTACAGTCGACTTATCGAAGATAAATTTGAATCATCATTATCTTATTATGAATTCTTACAACGGCTCAGTCAGCAAGTTCGATAATGGAGTATTATTAAAAATAATTGAAATAAAAAGTCAATGCCTAATATACACCTACTAAATGTTTTTTTATTCTCTTATAAATATTTATTTGAAGATAATGATATGTGTATAAGATAATTTAATAAGTTAAATTTGTATTTTGTTTAGTCCATAAATTAATTGTTATTTTCCTTTATTGAGTTTTAAAGATAGATAATATGAAAATATTTGAGTTATAATTAGTTGTTTTCTTTTTTTGTATGTAAATTAAAGAAAATGTTATAAATATATTGTATAATGATTTTTAATGTTAAGTAGTATCTACACAGTTAAAATATTGTTTTAAGTGGTTATTGGCCAGCTATATGTCTGGTATTATTTATTTGTGAAATTGTTTTATTAAAAATATGTTTATTCTATTTTATTATGTATATTTATTTTAATGCTATACAAACAACAAGCATATTCTAATATATTATATATGTTCCCAGTTATACATATAAGTTGGACATTATATAACATAATATTATGTATTATAGAATTTCTATAGATTTTAAAATACTTATCATAGTGATACAAACTATATATTGCTTATATATTATCAATGAGTATATATTACAATATATACTCAATAATATTATGAAATTCCTATTGCCTACAAACATATATGCAATTCTGACTATTGTCTAATTCTCAACAGATTAGACAAGTTTTTCATCTGTGGAATATGGTGAAGTTCTATAGAATTATTATTACTAAAATAAAAAAATATATATATAATGTATTTGGTAATACTGATAAACAGTAAAATCATTTTTTTGAGAAGGTATTACATTTGTAAGGTTTTAATTTGGTAAATAAAAAAATATCAATAGATTACCTCTAATGCCCCTATACTATGTTTTTTCAATTTAACATGCATTAGTATTTACTATTTACTATATTTTATACAGAATTACACTTAAATTTCCACTTGTCGATAGCCAGTACTTTAAATTTAATTTAAAAGCTTAATTATTTCATTATTATCTAATTACAATATAAGTGTTAAAATTTTAAAATATTCATTAAATGAATACTATATTTTCATTCACAATAGAATTTGTTTGTCATGAATCATTGCACTAGAAATGTGATAGATCTGGTTAAAACTCATATTTTTAAATTCTAAATTTCTCTCAAAAATGTATACCAAGTAAAGATATGAATTTTTAATTTTAACCACATTGGTTAACCTATAAAATTATGACTGTTATTGTAATATAGTATCGGATATACTAACTACAAATCAATACCATACTGTATAATATGCATGACTGTTTTAAATTTAATTATTCTAACATTTAAGTTTTAAATAGGTACTATAAACTAATATAAAGTATAAATATTTAATTTTAAAGTAATTGTGACTGGTAATTTTAATTAACACACAGGAGCAGTTCCGGGGGGGGGGGGGGGGGTGCTTTTTTGTAAATTGATTCAACTGGTTTGATCAATCAGTTTTAGTGCTGTGTTGATATAATTAATTTATAGTAAATAGTAATTATTATTATATAAATATAATACCTCATACATATATGCGTTGTTTTAAGGAAATATTAATAATTAATTCAACATTTCAACCTATTAATAGTAATTAATACCTTAAATAAAAATATTAATATTAGTAATTTTAGCCTCTAATTTATATTTATAACATTCTTAGTTAGATAGGCTGAATGGCTGATATAGGTACTCTCCGCATCATATAGTTTTTCGTAGGTATGCAATGATTAGCGAGGTACACTACTATAGTCGATAAAGCAGAGGACTTCCTAGGTACCTAATTATTTAGATTTTTATTTTTTAAAAGACATCATTGAAATTGCTTCTAAATTATAATCCTTAAAAAGCGGGTAAGTGGCGTTACATACCACCCATGTAACCTAGCCAACATAATTTTATTGAACTCATACAAATATTATCAAGTTCAGCAAAACAAATATATTTTGATTTTTGATATTATTTAAACAATTAGCCCAATTAGGTACATGTTTTTTCTTTATTTAAAATTGCAATATTGTATACCTACCTTATATAGGTTATATGGTTCAGTGGCGGGTATAGGGGGGAGGCCATCTAGGCCAGTCCAGAGCCCATAGTGAAATTGCAGGTCCCATTAAAGCATTACATGTAGGTATACTGTTTACAGTTTTTCACTATGATAAAGTTAGTCGATTGATTAAAATCGTTTTTGAGGAATCAACAAGGAAATGTTAGATAATATTAAAATATATAAATGGCACTGTCAATATTCATAAAAAAAGAACCAACAAATTAATTTTACATAATAATTATAAAATTGAATTGCGCAACTTCTATTTGTACCGTACATGTCATAATTATAACAACCCAGCTCCCTAACTGATAAATTGACCCATAGTGAAAATAATTATATAGGTATATACGAATATATAGATATTATATATATAATATTATTAGGTACCGTTTAGGCAAGAGGCAACCACCTATAATTTTTATTGTTCTATGATAATAGGTACCTCGTACCTCATACAACTAAAACCACGGACTAAGATAGTAAGATAGATGTCTTAGTCCGTGAATAGTGTATAATATAGCAGTTATGTCCCATATCCGATCTCCCAACACTAGAGCCTAGAGATATTACCAAGTTATTCATAGAGATGTTATATTATATTTTATGTATAATTACTATAATTATTAACTATTAATTTTATAAAATATTTCAAATTTGCTTAATGTTTTTGTTAGATTTACTATTTAGTAAAATCATTAATTATAAATACCTATTACCTACTAGGTACTAGGTAGATATATTTATTGTTAATGGTATAGGTAATATAATATTATATCGAAAAAAAGGAATATTTATAGTTTAGTGGTCGTGTGTGATCGATTATTTGTATTAAGATTTTTCATAAAAATTTTTGTAAATACGTACAAAATGTTATCGCCCCCGGGTGGGCTCGAACCACCAACCTTTCGGTTAACAGCCGAACGCGCTAGCCATTGCGCCACGGAGGCCACATGTAAATCTAATAAAAAATATGTTAATTAGATATAAATATAGGCCGTAGATGGGTAGAAAGTATCGTACCCTTGTTAGTAGGTACCACAGAACAATGGATCAGATGCGTAAATCAATTAGGTAACTATTTGATTTTATTAAAAAAAAAAAGAAAACCATAACTCATAAGTAACATTTGCACTACCTACCTAACTAGTGGCTAGTAAGTATATGATTTCACACATGTTTTGGCCATTAGCTATCTGTTTATCTGAATAATATTGGTACCCACGGGTTGTCGGGGTCATATACTCGTATTTGAACATTTTGTACCACGGGGAAATTTTTTACCCCCCTTGCATTAATTGCAACCCCCCTATTTGCACGAACTTCATTTTTTTGGCACGTATCCTTTCTTAGTGCACCACCAGTTACTACATGGTGGTACGAAAGGTAGTAGGTGCTGTTAAAATGTCAAGTCCCTAGGCGGAGTTCCGAATGACAGAACATGTTAAATTTTGTACATAATATTTAACAATATTATATTGATTTATTTAATCGTGACACATTGGTCTAAAACCTTGGAATAATAACTCAAACTATATAAAAATATTTTCATATAGTCTGCGGTAATAATAATTAGTAGTTAAAGAATAAAGTTATTATAGTCATAATACTCATAATAAAATAAAGACATCAGCGGTCACGAATTAGGGTACCTACCTACCTACCTATCATGATAATAATATAGGTTGTTAAATTGTTTATTGTAGAATTGTATAATTGTACCTATATTGTTTATATCATGATACCTATTATACAGAAGACATAGGTAACTACCATGTTAGATTATATAAATTATATAATAATTGTATTTGGTAATATATTAATACCTATATTACATATACATGCGAACATGCAGACATTACAGAAGGAAACGTGTCTTTTTATTAATATATTGTGTGATCAGTGATCACCATGACCGTGATTCAGACACAGAATATTCTGTGGTTCAGAGTTCAGACCATAGACCACTATCGTCTATCATAGACCTTATACCACGGTCTTAGATTAATATCAGTCTATATTTATTTAATATATATTTTTAACAGTGGTAGAAATAACTATACCACATATCTATTTTAGTAATATCCCTGTCAATTTTATTTGCAAAGTCATTAATCGTACTGTCAGTTAAAGAGGTCCAATATAATCATTTTGCATATTTTGTACATACCATAAATTCTGTGTCGACACTTAACAGCCACTTCATTTGCTATAAAATAGTAGGTACCTCTGTTCAAATTCAAAATTTTAAATCATGTTCCGCAAATTCCGTCCAATTATGTTACAGAATCAAGGTAAAGGATTAATCTTTTAGCTTTGGATAAATAAAAAATAAAAATAAAATTCTGTGATCATAAGTATAGATATATTATTAATATATTGTGTTCAGATAGATATAGGAATATCTAGTCATTAATATATTATAATTCAAATTTGTTTTGTATTTACACAGTTCTGCATTTAAGTGGTAAAAAGGATGGAAAACAAGATAAATCAAAACAGCAAAAACCAGAGTGCGTGTGTATGTGCCCTCCACATTACAAAATACTTACTATGGACGATATGCAATTGCCGTATGGTAATTGGAAAGAACAATATCAAAAGAGAAACAGAAAATACAGTACAATATTCTTGTTTGGTTTGATTTCATTGATTGGTTCTATTACAGTTGTAAGTCAAACTTAAGTAATTTAGACAAATTCTTCTTCTTAATCGGCCATATGGTTACCTAATAGGTTCAAAACTTTAAAACATAGTTTATTGGGGTTGAAATGTTTTATGTATTGATACCAAATAATAATAGAAGTAGGACAAAGATAATAATAAGACGCATAGACTATAGTACCGACTACAGACTATATTACTATAATGTAGTACCTACCCAAAAATCTATTTAGTAAATTATACCTATATATATATATTACTTACCAATAAACAGTGCCACAAATCACAATTATCAGGAAGTTGGTTAAATAGGGTGAAACCCTGCCAAATAAACAATATAAAATATACTTAACAATTAGCACTAAAACTTGTAGCTTACTGGCTTTGATCATGATTTAAGAATTGTAATCTGTTCCCTAGGACTTAAGAATGTAAGTTGCGGTACTGTGTACATATTATTATTAAAAGTACTTTAATAAATATATATATATTTTTAAATGTTATCGATAAAGTTTCTTCTTGAAGGCATGTAAGATTTGTTCAATTTTAATTTAATTATGATATAAATATTTTAAAATGTATCCATCTTATTCAATTAAATAGGTATCCAATACAAGTGATACTAATTATATTTAGATATCAACATTTACTATTTTAATTTTGGATCATGAACAAATTAATAAATACCTAGTAGGTACCTACTTAATTGGTATTTTAATAAAAGTAGATAATTATCAAATTATGTGCTGTTAACCATATTTAATTTTTTTCCAGCTAAACAAATCATGTATATTTTTTAATGCATTTCCACCTCCTTATCCCTTCGATAAAGAAGATATATTTGAATGTGCTGATGATGATGAAGACTGTGAATTTGAATGTGAATGTGAATGTTAGTACCTAACCGATATACTTTTAATTGTTATCTAAATAAAAAAAAACTATTTCATGACAAAATTATCATTATAAGATTTGTTTTATGTAAAACATATCATTATACAATGTACATTATAAACATTAAAAACTATAATATACCTAACCCTAAACTAACTTTGTTTTTATTTAAATTGTAACAATTTTCATACAAGTTATACTTATACTACATTTTCAATTTGTGTTGTATTTACAATATTTCCCTACAATAAAATTAATGTTAGATAGGGTTGCTTTAAAATTTAATTCTGGGTACCTACACATAGTTCATGTGATCAAGTCTTCTGTTTGAAAAGTTGCGCACGGATCAAAACAAGCGATAAGCATTATAGTTAAACCACTTAGTAAGTAACACCCTTATAAATCTTTGAATCTAAAATGAAATATAATAATAATTATAACTTAATTTGTATGAAATATACAATAATAGTTATAATACTTTACTATTGGTTTAAATTACTGTAATGTTATAAATAATAAAAAAAAAACAATATTAGAGAACTTAGAACTTTTCAATTTGCTTGGTGGATCAAAAAAGAAATTACCATTCAATGAATTTCTATTGAAAAGGGCATAATGACTATAATTTTGTTTTTATGGTTATATATGAAATATATATGTAGAACAAAGAGTATGGTGGGATATATTAAGAGGAATTTTGGCTAATTATCAGGACAATCAATTAAATAGTTTAATTATTTGTATAAGAAAAGAAAAGAATATCATTATTTGGCAGTCTATCTTTGAGAGATTGAAGGTTTAGGTCTTTAGCTAATGTATTGAATGAAGTGTCAATTTTATCTAATTTATAAATGAATCAATATTCAATGTACTGACGTACAGAAAAATATAAAACTTGTATGAACCTACACATTTATTTATAAATGAGGCATGAATTAATCAATGTAATTTATTATGAATAAATAACTAGTTAATTTTGTTTTTTATTGCCTAAGAAATTCACATTTTTTGTAGAAATGTAACATAGGTAACATAGCCAATAAGTAAATAAGTTCCTTCTTGTTGTTTTTAATTCTGTTCTTTAACCTAACTCATTGATGTAATGACGACATGACGTTCAATATTTTGAATTTGTGTTTCTGTGGTCTATTAACTGGATCTATTTAATTATATTTGCAAGTTAGTGATTTATCTGCATATGCAACATAGATTAAGGTAGGTACCCATGTACAATAGGCAACATAGGTGCGTTATTATTCTTTAAAGAATCATAGATATGTTTAGTTCCAAAAATCTGATATAATTTAAACTGCATCAGTATTCAGTGCAGAAATATTATTCTAAATGAAATTAATATATGATTATTGAAAATCAAATTGCAATGACTTTCCAGACAATATTAAAAGATCAATACACGATGCCATTATGTATCAAGTAATAACGCATTCTCGATTGGAACCGATTCTCCGACCATAGGAGAAATTTAGAATGGTAATTTGCTTGTAAGTGAAATATGAATTACGCCTGGTTGGACCCCTTAACAATACCAATAATAAAGTCCTACTTTAATTTTTTTTTATAATGTTTTCACAAAACAAACAACAAGTTGTCGATGACAGAATATTATATGAGGATAACCTCATATTATAGAATATTAGAACTTAATGTGAAATTAATGAATTTTGATTAAGTATTTCTGGTTTAAAATAAATAACACTTGTACAGCTGTACCTAATACTCGCTGGGAGTTTATTACCTACATATTGATATTATATTATCAATTATCATATTACTGGATGTAATATATACCTACCACTTACCAGCAACCTAAAGTACATCCCCCACGTTATGCTCTGTTTTTGTAAAAAGAACAGGTACCTATTAAAGACACTGGTCTGTGGGCTGTGGTACATGACACCGCTGTTACACTACGTTACAGAGTGGCTTTGTTATAGCAGCCTATAGGTATAAACTCTGAAAATAGGCTTTTTTTTTTTACCGACCATAATCGGCCAAATTTAAGGGTAGCTTGGAATAGTGGTTGAACCCTCCCCCCCCAATCAAACATTTGAAGGTGAATAGACCCGCCTTCAATTCTTCATTGTAGCTAGTATTGAGTACCTAATAATACAATTATTATTTTTGTTACTTGTATTAGTACTACGTTGCACTCATCATATTATACTCTCATTTAGACTTAATAAATTGCTTGAAACCTAAACATAATAAAAATGTCAACATTATCATATTTCCAAAAATAATAACCCCTAATAATAAATAATACTATTACTAATACTATTGTCTATTAATAATAAATAAGAATTATAATAATAATTCATATCTAATTGTGTTTATATTGTTTTACGCTTACGGAAACGTGTCTGGCTGAGAAACCTCCGTTACCTATTATATTATTACAAGATAACTGTATGGGCGTATGGCTATTTGTATATATATATAGCCTATAGGCTGGTTAGTAGTTTCTGATAAGGTCTATGATATTTCGTAGCGTATAGACAATATTAATATTATCTAGGTAATTATCATGGATTATATTTATTATTATACTGTAATTTAATTTATAAACTCGACCAGAAAGGCTGGGTTTTCTCTGAATTCTTTCTCAGCAATATACTTTCGTTATTAATTATTATATATAACGTCATATACTCATATACAATAATATATATTATGCTGACCACGTTGAATGTATGATTGTATGAATACCAGAATACTTAGGTAGGTAGGTAGGTACCTATGTAATATTTTGTCGGATTGTGTTAGTTGTGATTGCGTTACCCCCACTCGTCCATCAGAGTACACATATTTATTAGACTTATTATATATATAATACAACATTATGGCCGTTTACTCGAAACTCCGTTCTGTAATATTTCAAGGAGAATTTTAATTTTAGTGTAATATTTAGGAGCTACTTAATTTGATCCATGTAACAAATAAGTACTTAAAAAAGTGAAACTTTTATTATGAATTTGTAGGCATATTTTGGTTATTTTATTAATTATTATTGCATGCAAGTTTTTAGTGTACAATTAAGTAGGAAATCACTATATAATGAGTAATGACTAATGACTAATGATAATTCTAAATACCCTAACCTGTAGCATTTCAAATTTATTTGGATTTTTTTTATATTAGAATTATTATAAACTATCTCGAGTATTAAAATATGCATCTAACTGATTTTTTGTAATAAAATAAAAAAAATTTAAAAACTATTAAACTATTTTAAGGCCATTATTGCGGTAAAAAGTTATTTTTTGATATTCCTTGCGCATTTTATTTTTATAGTTTTTACTTTTTAGAACATTTAAATCAGAGCCCTACCTACTTATTATATTAAACTATACATTAATACATTATAATAATAAGAACGTTTTTTTACTGTTTAGGCAAGGCACGCTTTTTATGATAAATAATTATGCAACCGTCTGTCGCCAACTCAGACCACCTGTTACGGATTATTTCTATTTCTATAATATTAAGTGAGCACGCGTGGACCAATGTATTATCATATTTATGTATACCTACAGTATTACAGTCAGTGGCGGATTTAGCGTCAGGCAAAGTAGGCAGTTGCCTAGGGCGGCAAATTTTTAGGGGCGGCAATTTTAGGCCAATATTTTATTGAGAATACTCTAAGTTTCTTTTTGATTTTCTAATGTACGGTGATTACTCTGAAGGATGGAAAAAAATGTTTAATATTTAAGTATAATAATAATCTTGTTAATATAATTTCTTCTTTATTTTATAATACATAACAATAAACGTCCAAGTAAATTATCGAACGACTGCCGGAACATAGATCTATTATCTAAATACTAAACATAGATAACATATTTCGTTAATTTGTTTTTTTGCTAAGTCGTAATAATTATTAATAATCGCTCGTGGTTCGTTTGATCGCATGGTGGCGTACACACACTACACGCACAATACATACAGATATGATAATATATTTAATACGAATAAGGGTGACGATCGATTCGTATTGGAACGATAGTCTAATTATAAACCAGTCACTGTGAATATTTTTATATAATATACTCGTACCTACGTACTATGCATTATGTGTACAAAAATAAAACTTTTTCTATCCAAAAGATAAAATTATGTAATAATTATTTATTTTTCTTCGGGACTATGAAATAGAGGGCGGCCGAGTAAAAAATAGGTTTATTCTGATTAGACATTCGATTATTTTCAACACAACATTCAAGGCGGATAGACTTCATATTCGGTTATTAGTATACTAGGTACTTAAATTACTGGTAAGTAAACACTATATTTTATAAACACATTTTATTAGAACAGTTTATTAACATAAATGCCATTAATTATTGTTTAGTATCAGTCTTTATGATTTATTTTTTTAGTACTTATGTTAAATAATTATTTAAAAATACGTTTTCTCGTTGATAAGTTTAATGGGGCGGCAATTGTGTAAATCCGTCTCTGATTACAGTATACACGCCATTATATTTTATTGCCGTGTGTCGCATTCAGCATCATCGCCGTACCTGCGAAATACGCACAATATTTATATAAACATATATCAATATATTATATTATATTATGTGCGTAAACGATAAATGATAATAATATCATCATACTTATTTTATAGTTATATGTAATAACTAATATTTTAAAATTGAAAACCTTGTGTAATGCTCTACGATTTAATGTCGCAGTCGCACACTGTCTTGTTCTGCACATTATAATATTCACCTGTCAAACTTTCTCGAATCCGACGTTCTTATATATTAGTAGGTATACCTGATATCTATACCTATTATATCTATATTTATTAGATGAGCGTCCTGCGTCCACTAGCTGGTCAGTGTCCACACTCATATATACTATACATTCATATATGATATTATATTGTATAATATTGTGGCATGTGAGTGTATAACTTCTTGAACGTTATTTTTCCTTAGAAAATAATATAAACGTGTTGTAGAAATTCTGCATACATGGAT